TGGGCGACAGAGTGAGACTCCAACTCAAAAAAAAAAAAAAAAGCAGTAATATGTGATATTTTACTTGTAAATTTAAAGGTTTTTTTAAATGAAAATTGAAAAGATTTGGAGAGAAAAGAAATTAACAGGCTTATGTTTTACTTGTTAATATGTTTTTCAAAGAGAAATGTTGATTTAAAAGTTTTCTCAGCTGGGTGCAGTGACTTAAGCCTGTAATCCCAGCACTTTGGGAGGCCGAGGTGAGAGGATTGCTTGAGCCCATGGGTTCAAGACCAGCCTGGGTAACTTTGAGAGCCCTCATCTCTGCAATAAATAAAAAAATTAGCTGGGCATGGTAGCACGTGCCTGTATTTCCATCTACTGGAAAGGCTGTGACAGAAGGATCACCTGAGCCCAGCAGGTTGACACTGGGGTGACTGTGAGCATGCCACTGCACTCCAGCCTGAGAGATGGAGTGAGACTCCAACTCAAAAAAGAAAAAAAAAGTTTTCTCAAAAACTTACAGAATAAATTGATCTGATTTAGTATCTAAAAAAATTCCTATCACACTCTGTTTAATAATATCTATTACTATTATTAAAGTCATTATGACATAAATTTTATTCTCTTTTAAAATCAAACCAAATCAATCATACTGATTCCTTGACTTCTTTGTTGCATTCGATAGGTAGACTATTAACGTATTTAGGCCAGGCGCAGTGAGTGGTTCAGGCCTGTTATCCCATCCGTTTGGGAGGCAGAGATGGGAGGATGCCTTGAGCCAAGGAGTTCAAGACCAGCCTGGGCAACATAGCCAGACCTCATCTCTACAAAAAATTAAAAAATCAGCTGGGCATGGTGGCATGTGGTTACAGGCACCTGTAGTCCCAGCTACTCAGGAGGCTGATGTGGAAGGATCACCCAAGCCCAAGAGGTCGAGACTATTGAGCAGTGATCTTACCATTACACTCCAGCCAGACAGAAGGAGGCCCTGACTCAAAAAAATATTTTTAATCTTCTAAACTAAGGTAATCAATTGATAACTTATTTATTTTCTGCCTCTTTTAAAAAGAATATGGGGCAGTCTACAACAGCAACAAAAAGCTTATTAATCCATTATTAATGATATATCAAAGTACTAAAGTTTTCTAAAGTGGGTAACAAGTGTAAATGTGCATGTGAGAGTCCATCAATTTCTTAGTATTGTTTACCAGAGAAAAATGGCATGTGAAAAAAAACTTCTAGGTGGAAAACCAATAATTTTCTGAAAACAGTTTTGTTTCAAGTTTTTCAGGAAATAATTCTCTAGAAATTAATGAGATTCATCTTTACTAATAGGAGAAAAATGGCACTGAAGCAAATTTCCAGCAACAAGTGCTTTGGGGGATTGCAGAAGGTTTTTGAACATGACAGGTAACTATTAAGAAGATATAACTTCAAATACCTCTCATTGTTTTTGTTTTGCTCTGTTTTTAAGCAAATCTTTACCGAATTCTTTCAGTAATTCATTTCACTTTTATACTTGCTCTGCCTTGCATGTGTTCTCTCTCTCTCTCTCTCTCTCTCTCTCTCTCTCTCTCTCTCTCTCTCTCTCTCTCTCTCTCTCTCTCTCTCTTTCTCTCTCTCTCTCTCTCTCTCACTGACAATTTTATCAGGCTTAATTAACTATGGATTTGACTGTGTGAAGTAGAGCCTAAATAGAGAAGTTATCTTCAAGCTTTGACATGATGCTTTTCTGAAACTTTATGAAAATGCCTATGTTGCCAGTAAAAATTCTTGGAAAATTTTCCTTAGGGATCTTTTAATGTAGAAAAGATACTGACTTCTTGGTAAAGACGGCATACTAAACATGCATTTTCCTCTGCTGCCTCCAAAAATCTGGCAAACATGTCATTAAGCAAAAAGACAAAACACACACACACATATACTTTTAATTTGCTTGCTTTTTGGGTTTTTTTGAGTTAGTCTCACTCTGTCACCCAGGCTGGAGTACAGTGGCATGCTCATGGCCACTGCAACCTTGACCTGCTGGGCTCAGGCGATCCTTCTGCCTCAGCCTTCCAAATAGTCGGAACTACAGGCGCTCCCTACCACGCCCAGCTAATTTTTTTAAATTTATTGTAGAGATGAGGTCTTACCAAGTTGCCCAGGCTATTCTCAAACCCAAGGGCTCAGGCGATCCCCTCACCTCAACCTCCCAGAGTGCTGAGATTACAGGCTTGAGCCACCATGCCTGGCTGGGAGTCTTTTAAAAAGTACGTAGATCTCAGATTGCCCCAGCTTTTTTGCAGTTAGACCACTGCCTCTCTCCAGCTCAAACAAAAGATTGGAGGCATATTCTCTAGAGAAGGTAAACAGAGGGTCTGTACTGGGGAATACTAGACACATTGGTGGCAGTTGTGATATTGCAAATAGATTAAGCAAAAGTTTGCATGCTGAATTTCTTCCACTGGCTTTTAGATTTTGAGGAGTTATGCATATACCCTTCAAAAGAGTTTCCGAGTGGGAAATTTGACTAGCTCAAAAGAAGAAATCTCAAGATGTTGAGATTTGCCAACAAAATGATTTAGCCAGACTTCACTTTACAGTAAAGCAATGACTGACAACCCTACCCATAGGCACTGTGCTTTCAACCAAATTTTTAGTGTTTTACTCTTAAATAGGAGTGGACAGCTAAAGATCACTAGACATTTGTATAAAGCCTCTAATTTGAAAGACAGCTTAGGGAAAAGAAAAAGCACTGGAGTAAATAGACTGCAGGAAGAAAAACTTCAAAAGTACTGTTCATATCAAAGGCATAAGAGAAGATTTTGACCTCTGACATCAGAGGAAGATGCTGTTAAAAATATTCAAGAACAAAAAAGAACCCAGAAATTTAAAATTTGAAGGTAGAAATGATTAAAAATCAATAGAAAGATTAGTTGAAATTTTGTAGAAAGTAGGACAAGACAAAGTAGAAAATCAGAAAGGATAAGCAAGCTAGAGGACCAGTTCTAGAAGCCCAGCATTAAATATTAGGAGTTTTGAAAAATAAAGCAGAAATATAGATGTGAGTATAAAGAACAAAGAAATAACTTTAAAATTCCCAGAACCGAAGGGTTTAAATTGCCAGCTGAAAAAATTATCCAGCACAGTGAATGAAAATAGACTTATACCAACAACACTGCAAAGGTTTGGAGCATTGGGAACAAAGAGAAAATTCTCAAACATTCAGAAAGAGGAAATGGGTTAAGACTTTACAAAGGCAAAGGGCAGCTCAACAGCAATACTGGGACCAAGAAGGCAAAGCAGCAAGGCCTCCACAATTCTGAAGGGTGACTTCTGTGCCCTATCAAACTCAGTTATGTGTGAAAGTAGATTGAAGATGTGTTCATATATGTAAGGTCTTAAAAGTGTATTTCCCATGCAGCTCTTTTTCTGGAAGCATCTGAATGATGTGCTTCAGCAAAATGGGAGACTTAGGCGAGATAACTGAGGACATGGGTTCCAGGAAACTGAATCAGAGGAGAAAGAACTTACAGATGAGTGTGGCCATACTAAGGCAGCAGCTGGTCAAAAGTTGGAAATAGAATAGTAGCCAGTAGTTACATGCAGCCATTTAAGTAAAATTTAGTCAATATTAAAAATTCAGTTTCACTAGCCACATTTCAAATGCTTAGTAGTGACTAGAAGCTGTTGTATTGGACAGTGCAGGTATAAAACATTTTTATCATTGTAGAAAGTGATATTGGACAGTACTGGTCTGAAGAGACTGTTGTTTAAGTAGATGACACTGACAGAATTTATGGTATTGGAGAAGAAATTTGTGAAACTAAGTTGAATAGGGGGAGTTTGGTGTTGAATTAGTGGTAAGTATAGAGTGGCCACAGCAAATCTCTATTAATGAGATTGTGTTCTTCTGGTTAGTGAGCAGCATCTTAATGACATGCTAGGAGCAGAGGTTTCAGAAGATTACTTGATAAAGCTGTTTCTTACTTTTTTTATAAGTGTTAATCATACTACTATTTGAACATGCTTCATAGCTGATTTATTCCACAACTGCTTGAGAAAGATCTTTTAAAAATTTTTATTATGGTAAAATCACTTAACATGAGCTCTATCCTCTTAATCAAATTTTAGGTGTACAGGAAAGGTCTTAAGGCATCAACCATCCTGTAACAAGACTACGCTCCCTTGGTTTTACCAATTAGTAACAAATATTGCAGCATTGGCTATTGGATAATGATAACAAACAGCCCTGCATTGTACATGGATTTGATATGGTATAAAGTGAAAGAAAATGTCTCCATTTCCATAACAACAGTTGAAGACCTAAAATGAGCTGACTTCCAGTCATCAACAAGAAAAGTTGTTTAGAATAATGTAGAAAAATGAAATTAGTATATATGGAGAATGGTAGAGTTAGCATACAGAAAACTTCTCACTGGCATTGATGGGGACTTTGTGGGAGTCCATACCTAAAAAGCAAGCACAGCCAAATAGCAAAAAAAGAATTACAGTAGAAACCAAAAATTGAAAGGAAAGGGAAAGTAATTCTAGTAGTATACTATGTGGCTCCTCTGTAAATATCGTTTATAACTTAGTATTGATCAATCAGAATTAGATATGCTATGATGGCGGAAGAACAAATGTAGGAGTACAGAGAGCCAAGTCAAAGTTAACTACAATTCTGCCAAAATGGGAAGTCAACAGGTAATAACTGCAACTGGAAGCAGCAAAAAAAAAATATGTTATTTAGATAGGGAGGTCATTATACTAGAAAAATTAGCTAAAATAGATAAAGTGATTATTTCTGGAATGTATCAAATGAAAACGTTGTGGGGTAGGGGAAAATTAATTGTTCATAACAAAGTTAGTAGAAGTATTTACTATTTGTGGTTATTGTTCACTTTAAACTACATGTATATGTATAACTTTAATAAAAATATAGCTGCTTATTCTAAAGAAGAAACTGAATTTACTTCTATCTCTGTGATTCTTTAAATAAACCCATGAGACATCATTGTTGCATGAATTCCTGTTTACATGGAAAAATGCCTGTGGTTCAAAATTGTCTTTACTAGTTGTATTGATAATAATTGTGATAAAATATTTTTGATATAAGAGAAAAATAAGGATGCGGTGCATTTTAGTGCCTATGAGAAAATATGTAATTTATCATCTTTAGAATTTCTTTTTTATAAAAGATGATTTGTTCATCTCTTTAGAAACAGACAATTTTTTTTCATAATATAAGTGCCACGTTGAGCTTACATTTATTTTCTAAAATTTATTCTGTCCAGAATTACAGTGCCATGCAAAACACAGGCTCAGGTTGGTTAATAGATCAAAGTGCTGAACTGGCCCCATTCTTTCTTTAAGAGATAAAGTATATTAAATGTTGCTGAAATCACTAATTTAGAACATTAAATTGGTTATTTTGGACCTTTACTATATGTCTTACTTTTTACATAGTGCTTACTTATTTTGTTTTTGTCTCAATTAATGAGGAACAGTAATTTTTTGTTGGTATTGTTAAAATTACAGTGTTGAATTGAAGTGCAAAATGAAATTTGCTATTTATTTACCACCAAAGGCAGAAACTGGAAAGTGTCCTGCACTATATTGGCTGTCTGGTAAGTATCATGCATTTGAGTTTTATAAAGAAATTTCTTTTTCTTTTTAACTGGCTTATGTTACCCTTTGTTACATTTATTTCACTTCTTTTTCAATTAGACCTTGTCATTTAGCAGAGAATGTAATGTTTCTGGACTCAATGGCAAAGACTTAGAAAAATTATTTACTTAATTTGTTCCTACCCAAGCACTTCTGGAGTTTGCAGATACATTACCAAATAGAATAATATTAGGTGAAACCAGGAAGCTCTGCTACACTAATTAATTAGAAAGCACAGTCAAGTAACTTCTTACAGTATTCTCCAGAATATTATAATTGGACTCCATAGAGCTTCTCTAGCGACAGTCTAGAAAGTCACAAAAGAACACTAATTCTTCTTAATCAATGGCTAGTATTAAAGAATAAATTGTGGAGGAGTAAGATTTTGACAGCAGTTTTGAACCTCTGTGCTAACTTTTTCAGAAAATATTGGCACTTCATCCTTAGAAGCAAACATTACAAGGAGAGAATCATAGCAACCAAATTGGGTCATGGAGTGTGTATTTGATTTTAACTCAAAGCATTTCTGAAATGAACACCAATGATGAACGAAGAACATCAATTTTGCTATAAAAACATTAGGTATTAGGCGGAAGCAACCACAACAAAATTAGATATTTAATTGTTTTTAAAAACATAGTATTGTGTAACTAAAGATGATCTTAGATATCATGCAATCCACAGAAAGAAAGCTGAGGCCCAGACAAGCTTAGTATTGCCAAAGACCACATAACAGTATGGGTTTGAACAACTTTTCTGACTCATAGTCCAGGACTATATTCAATTTTTTCTCCTGTTTATTTTTCATTTTGTTTCTGGTGAAAGCTACTAAAGTCATAGCACTTGGTTAAAAAATAATAACCCAGATTAGAAGTACCAAGATATTGAGTCATAGGTACTATAATAATAAGTCCCTAAATTCCTAACCAAAATTGAAATCTGTCAAGACTTACCATCTGAGATTTATGAATATAAAATACAGAATTTTTGTTTTACATTAAATGACAGGACAGTTTCCTTAGTGAGATGCTGAAGAACAGATAGACCTTGGAAATTAAGGATTGATTTTTCTGAAGAAAGGTAAGATTACTTGACCAGTGTACTTGAGAACTGATGACAAAAGAATTTTAGATTTACTTTCCAGTAAGTTGAAGGAAAACAGTGACAGAAAGATCACAACAATTGTTATATTGCTAAAATTGATAAATCTGCTGAAATCAAAATATCCAAACAGAAATCTTAAAAGATGGTTTATATATAGTTAATTGTGTCTTTTTTGAGTGAGGATGACCATCAAAACAACCAAGTACCCATGAAAATTGAAAACATATATCCACCAAAAAACTTATACATGAATGTTTAAGGCACGTTATTTGTAATAGCCAAAGAGTTAAAACAAACAACAAAATATTTATTCAGCAAGGAAAAGCAGTGACGTTTTTCACACATACTGCAATATGGATGAACCTTGAAAACATTTTGCTAAATGAAAGAAGCCATTTGTAAATGACCACATGTTGTTAATTCTATTTATATGAAATACCCAGAATAGACAAATTCATAGAAACAGAAAGTACACTAGTGGTTGCCTAGGGCTGAGGGAAGCAGATTGAGATAAATGAGAAATGACTGTTAAGTGACTGCTAATTCTTTTCAGACAATGAAAATGTTCTAAAATTAGATAGTGTTGATGGTTGCATAACTGTGAATATACTAACAGTTATTGACTTGTACACTTTACATAGGTGAAGTGTGTGGCCTGTGAATTACACTTCAATTAAGTTGTTACAAAAAACCCAGCTTTTCATACAAAATAAGTATAATTGATCAAGTAGGTTTAAATTAGTAACCATATACATACTTTGGAAGGTAATCCTTCTAGTGTAATTCATTCGGATGAGTCTACAATTCATTCCTTACTATTTTAATCAAGGAATGTATATTCTAACTAGAAAGAAAATAAATACTTCTCTAGCATCTAACAGATTTATATTTTCAGTGTCTGTACTCCGTGTCCCGGACACAATTCAAGCCTTATGGGGTAGAAATACACAGTACTATTTCCATTTTTCAAATGAAAGAACTGATTCTTAGAATATTCAAGGTGATTAGACTTAGACCCACATCCTGTCTGAAATCCAAAACCCATGTTTTCTACATTATTACCCTGTTTCCTTTGAATACATTTGCATTAAGGTCAGTAAAATTGCTCACCTTTTATCAGTATTTGGGGAGTTCTCCGCCATGATATGGCTCCAATATCGAGCATAATAGACAAGCAGTGATCTTGTTCTTCTGCCATGACTTGTGAAAGTCTGCATTTCCTAACAGAGTTTAGCTACAAACTCTGTTTATCCAGTGATGTAACTATGTATCTTACTAATTTAACAAATTTTTATGGGCAACTATGTTATGTGTCTCTGCTGGCTGTTATGGGATAATTAGCAACTATGAAAATATCTTATAATTAATATTGCATCATGCATATCAATAAGTTTTGATGTTGCTATTTATTGGATATAGTGGGCTATTTAGCATTGACCATTGGAGAAAGGCTGTAGGGTTAGATGGCATTTAGCACAGGCATCTATTGCTAGTTCATCCTTAGGCATTCTCACATCATTACAGTCTTGGTGCCTATGGTAAGGGAATTAAGTTATCTTCTTTAGCATATGACTAAAAAGCATAGAGTTAGGAAAAATAACAGAAACAATTCCAAAAGCTGAGATTCAAACTCAATTTAAGGAAGATACTATTACTCTCATTTTAGCCCAGTGAGGGATACAAATATGATTGAGCTAAATTTTATTGCCTAGCCAGGCTCGGTGGCTCAGCGTGTAATCCCACGCCTTTGGGAGGCTGAGGTGAGTGGATTGCCTGAGCCCGTGGGTTCGAGACCCGCCTGAGCAACTTGGCGAGACCTCATCTCTACAATAAATCAAAAATTAGCTGGGCGTGGTAGCGCGTGCCTGTAGTTCCAGCTACTGGGAAGGCTGAGGCAGAAGGATCGCCAGACCCCAGTAGGTCGAGGCTGCGGTGGCTGGGAGTGGCCACTGCACTCCAGTCTGGGTGACAGTGAGACTCCAACCCAAAAAATAAATAAATTTTATTGTTGATAAATACCTGCATATAAAAAGTATTAAGTTAGTTACATTATTATGGCCATTGTATTAACTCACTGTGAATATGTTCTGATTGAGAAGTAATGCCATGCTTAATAAGCATGTTTGGTAATACTTACTAGGGTTGTTTTAATATTGGACTTATGTACCATATTGTCATTCTGCAGTTTGCAAAAGTCTAAGTTTCTAAACACATTTGGTCCAAAGGGTTTCAGAAAATGATTTCAAAAGAATAGTTATGGGATTATTTAACCTAACACAGTTCTTAGATTAATACTGTTGTAAATTGGGGGAATTTTAGTGTCTCACATTTTTTTCTAAAACAACAACAAAATTATAATAATACCAAGTGAGTTTGTTTTCCTGTATTATAAAAAGAATAAAATTTATAAATCATGAAATAATATTTTTGATCTTCAGGTTTAACTTGCACAGAACAAAATTTTATATCAAAATCTGGTTATCATCAAGCTGCTTCAGAACATGGTCTTGTCGTCATTGCTCCAGATACCAGCCCTCGTAAGTGTTCATGGTCCACAGATCCTTTGAAAATAAATCTTTAATACTAAGTTATAAGTGGTATAATGTACACATTATACAATTCATTTTATATTTTTGCTATTATCTCTATTGATCTTTTAAGTGATATCATGAATACAGAATACTGTGCTATACATTTTCCTCACTGAATTTTACTCATGGCATGTTCTTATGAGAGGGGCAGTTTTGCTACTCCCATTGTACAGATTAAGATATTTCAAAACCAAAATTGAAAAACTCAATTCACATATCATATTGGCACTAGTGTCAAAATACTAGTGCAATGTATAGGAAATTATTTTTTCTATTCCATAGTTAAACGGTCTTGTCTCACAACTATATCTTTTTTTCATCTTTGTTGACCATACAATTAAACAAAGATTAGTTTCAATATAAATGCTTAGAATGCTTACATTAGAGAAGTGAAAATAGCAAATATTTGAAAACTCAATTCACCAGACAGTTAAAACTTGTTTTGTGATGCCAGCAGTGTCAGGAAATGGAATTTAAATGTCAGTTAAAAGGCAAGCCTTGGAAGTAGTGCATTTCCTTTCATGGACATATTATACAAATATAGGACGTGACTGGTTAGAAATATGGTAATAGATTTAATTCAGAATAGCCCCAAATATGTAAAATACTTAGGAATAAACTTTAAAGTAGGGAGCTATATAAAAAGAAAACTAAAATTTTACTAAATATGATAAATGAGCACTTTAATAAATGAGAAAATGCTGTTTCTATATAGGTGGATTGAATATGATAAAGAGATCATTTACTTCAAATTACGTGTTACTGTAATTCTATTCAAAATTCCAGTGGTTGACTTTATGGCTACATGGAGGTATATCAAAAGAAATGTGATAAAAAAGAATACAAGAAAATCCCAATGGGGGTTGGGTAAGTAGGGAAAACATGTTGGAATGATTCCAAAGTACATTAGGAGACATTTTCAGTTCAACACAGTGAATTGAGCACAAGCATTTGTCTCCCTTTTTGTGTAAAGGGAATTAAAGACATGTTGGTAGAGGGGAAAGGTCATCAGGGAAGGGATCGAAACACATTTCCGAAAGATAAAAAGAGGATATTAGCCCTTTGACAGGTAAAACAGAGTAAGGAAACAATATGTTCAAAATATATAGGAAGAAACTTTGTCAACAAAGAAAGCTAGTGTGCCTTATCTTGGTCCCTGAATACTCCAGCTTACAAGGCCATTCCTTCTCTCACTGGCCAGAACTAGTCACATGGCCTCATTCAAGGGCAAGAGGACCAGGAACTATGATCCTGTCATATGTCCCAAAGGCAGAGAATTCGCAATATTTGGTGAACAGCTCTAATGCAAATGAACTTGCAGATTCAGCTAGAAGTATGTGAGTAAACACAGGCCATTACCACAGAGTAGATGAAACCACAAGATTTTTCCTTGGTAGGTGGCTGCAATATTAAAGGAGAAGATGACAGCTGGGACTTTGGCACTGGTGCTGGATTTTATGTGGATGCCACCCAAGATCCTTGGAAAACTAACTACAGGATGTATTCTTATGTAACGGTGGAGGTAATTTAATTTGTATTATAATTATTAACTATTAACTGCCTAGAGTTTGACTTTGGACACAAAGTTCTAATCCTGAGGATTTTAAACTAGGGTATGGCATTGTTGAATTTGGTACATTTTAATAAGATATCTTAGTGAAAATTTTTTTACTAGTACTCTAGTCCTATTTACAGCAATTTAAATTAATACAAGTATAATTTTAAAGAACTTAATAATATTAAGACTTTTGTATACTACTTAGGATATCAAAGAAAGTAGTATATGATAAAACCTTTGATTTCCCTGGCATTTAGATAAATTTTATAATGGTAAACCAAAGCTTGCTTAGAAAGGATAAGCAAGTGATAAAGCATTACTTCTATTAATAATATTTATGTGCTGTTTATGCATTTTTCTAAATTTTACATGATCTTAATATATATATCATAAAAACTCAGAAACAATAATGTAATTTTTTTTTTTTTGAGTTGGAGTCTCACTCTGTCGCCCAGACTGGAGTGCAGTGGCCGCTCCCGGCCACCGCAGCCTCGACCTGCTGGGCTCCGGCAATCCTTCCGCCTCAGCCTTCCAAGCAGCTGGAACTACAAGCGCACTACCACACCCGGCTAATTTTTTGATTTATTGTAGAGATGAGGTCTCACCAAGTTGCCTGGGCGGGTCTCGAACCCGCGGGCTCGGGCAATCCACTCACCTCAGCCTCCCAAGATGCGGGATTACAGGCTGAGCCACTGAGCCCGGCTAATGTAATTTTTTTTAACTTTTATTTTAAAGATGTAGGATATAATTCAGTGTTAGGTATACGAGTGCTCATTATACAGGTATAGTTCAGTCTTCACTTTGGTCCCCACTTCACCTGGGTACATTTTTAGTCACCATAATTCTGTCACCCCAAATAACACTTACATTTCTATATATTCCAGATTTTTTCTATGACTAGTTTTCAAATAATTTCAAAGTTTTGGCCTGTTCTTTTTCTTAGTTATATAAATTAATATTTTTCAGTATTCTTCTAATGTTAATAACTGCAGAATATTCTGTCAAATGCCATAATTTACTTTTTCCTCTAGGAGGACATTTATGTTTTTGCATATATTTTTACTGTATCATCTTGCTAAAGTAGCTTACTAAGAAGTCTGTACCATATATTGCCCACTGATCTATTAAAAACCATGAGGTTTTTGTTTTGTTTTGTTTGAATCATTGCTAGTTCAAATCATTGTAAAACTGTGATTGACTAATTATTTTATGTAACTTTGAAAAAGTCTAAACTTAGATTTTTGGTATCTTTAGTCACTATTAAATTTTTTTCTAGCTTCCGCAACTCATCAATGCCAATTTTCCAGTGGACCCCCAAAGGATGTCTATTTTTGGCCACTCCATGGGAGGCCATGGAGCTCTGATTTGTGCTTTGAAAAATCCTGGAAAATACAAAGTAAGATTACCTAATCTTCTAGTGATAAATATTTCTCTTGAATAATATAACATTAGGAACCTTTAAAGACTGAAATTACAATGTCGTTTTAGTTTTGGGCTTACACTTTTCTAGTTTTGAGGATTTCAAGGGCTTGGGAGAATATTACATCTGGACATACAGTATATACTACAGAATCAGAAACAGGAATCCCATCAGAGTGGTTTCTTGTTGGCCTACTGGAAGTATTATAAAATGTACTTTACCTTTTTTATAGCTTTTATTCAAAGTATACTTTTGGACATATTTTTTTTTCCTAAAAGTTACTATTCTTGATTCATATTCGTTGTGACAGGGTCTATCCTTTATTTATATTTTCACCAGAAATACCTTTGAAAAATTAACTTTGATTTTCTGAAGTAGAAGATGTTTATCATTGTAGAAGCTTAAGAATTCTGTTCTGTCTCTAATGAAAATTGAAATGCATCTTGATTGAAAAACATCACTCTCAGCCTTTCTCATTCTTCATTTGAAGATTTCTAGCTTTATATTTTTTATTTAGGTGAATCCAGTTTAGGCCGGGCACGGTGGCTCACGCCTATAATCCCAGCACTTTGGGAGGTCAAGGTGAGATTTCCTGAGCCCATGGGTTCTAGACCAGCCTGGGCAACTTGGTGAGACCTCATTTCTACAATAAAAAAAATAAAAATAAATTAGGTGGAACTACAGGTTCCAGCTACTTGGAAGGCTGAGATGGAAGGATCACCTGACTTCAGCAGGTTGAGGCTGTAGTGGCTGGGAGTATGCCACTGCACTCCAGCCTGGATGAAAGAGTGAGACTTCAACTTAAAAAAAAATAAATGAGTCCAGTGTGAATAACCACTATATGTAGAGACCATACTGTGCAGAGCAGCATATTATGAGAGTTGAAAAAGGAAGTGTCAGGACTATGATTGTCTTAAGATCGCTTCTGTCTTTAAGATTACAGAACTATTCATGACTATAACATTTGTTTATCTCATTTCCTTCCCTCAGGAAGGACTTCTTGATCATTTTAAATGTGCTGCTGAGAAATGGAAGTGTTTCTTAATGGCAGTTTCTTGCTGTGGTACCAGATAAAATTTTTGATAAGCTTTTTTATACAGTTGAATTAATTCATGGTATGACAGTGGGTTTTCTTACATAAACATTTTATTTCTACTTTTATTTTCTTTTTTTTTTGAGTTGGAGTCTCACTCTGTCGCCCAGACTGGAGTGTAGTGGCTGCTCCCGGCCACCGCAGCCTCGACCTGCTGGGCTCCGGCGATCCTTCCGCCTCAGCCTTCCAAGTAGCCAGAATTACAGGCATGCGCTACCATGCCCAGCTGATTTTTTCATTTATTGTAGAGATGAGGTCTCGCTGCCCAGGCGGGTCTCGAACCCACGGGCTCAAGCAATCCACTCACCTCAGTCTCCCAAAGGCGCGGGATTACAGGCTGAGCCACCGAGCCCGGCTTATTTCTACTTTTTAAGGCAATCTATTGTTGAAGTGGAAAAGCGATCTTTTTCTGTCCTTTAAAAAAGCTTGTAGACATTGCTAAACGTAAACATTGATGAGTACTCTGAAGTTGAGATCCCATCTCTGCACCTTACCAGTGAAAAAGGGCATTGTACAGAACACAAAATAATGTTAAAAATTCATTCATATTTAAAGACATTGCTCACTGCTTTCTTGGTACTATTTAAGAGAAATAATGTCTCAGATTTAATAACATGTACACTAAGGTAGGCATGAACCATTTTATATAACTACAGTTCTTTTTTTTTTTTTTTGAGTTGGAGTCTCACTCTGTCACTGGAGTAGAGTACATTGGCTCACGGCCACTGCAGCCTCAACCTGCTGAGCCCAGGCGATCCTTGTACCTCAGCCTTCCACATAGCTAGAACCACAGGTGCACATCACCACGCTGGGGTAATTTTTTTAATTATTGTAGAGACAAGGTCTCTTACCTGGTTACCCAGGCTGGTCTCAAGCCCCTGGGCTCAGACAATCTTTTCACCTTTGCCGCCAAAGTGTTGGGATTACAGGCGTGAGCCACTGAGCCCAGCCAGATTAATTTTTAGTACAAAAAAGGAGTAGAAACTTAGAACATAAATTTCCTTTTGTACCTTACTTAATTAAATGGTAATGCATAGCTTTGCATTATTTTAGCACCTATATTTATTAGCTCTCTTAATAGAACATACAAAAGATGTATTATGGAGGTGCCCACGATCTGAGCCCATAATATATCAAAAGGAAAATTGCCCACAGGCGCTTTCATGGCAAGTCAGTTTTTAAACTAGCTGTAAATAACTTCTGCATTTTTAAGCAGGTTGCAAATATCTATTCATATTTAATTTAGCAAAATATAACTTGCTTTTAAATTTCTTTTGTTTCTGAAGTCTGTGTCAGCATTTGCTCCAATTTGCAACCCAGTGCTCTGTCCTTGGGGCAAAAAAGCCTTTAGTGGATATTTGGGAACAGATCAAGGTAAATGGAAGGTAGGTACTGGATGGCTGCCTTAATACTTGTGCATAGGTTTTCAAATTCGTTAAAAGGCTGGACACACCACAAACATTATATTCCAAGCCTGCTCAAGTTAGGACTCGAGAGCTAAGAGTAATTAGCAAAAGTAAATATATGTGTGTGTGTGTGTGTGTGTGTGTGTGTGTTTGTGTGTGTGTGTGTGTGTGTGTGTTTCACAGCAACAAGTCCTGAAGAGTAATTAGCAAAAGTAAATATGTGTGTGTGTGTGTGTGTGTGTGTGTGTGTGTGTGTTTCACAGCAACAAGTCCTGATTCTTCTGCTGTGGTGTTGGAACAGTTTACGTGTTCGCCACAGAACTCTATCAATGTCCATCTCTTATACTTGCAGAAGTCAAACGTGACTTGTATTCATCTTTTGTTACCAGTATATAGTATTACAATTTTAGTACAGTTTTTTTTTTCTTAAAATATATATACATTTTTGGCACCCCCTCACCCGTCACTCAACTGTGCTTCTGCCATTTTCTTTGACTGGCCTGCTCGTCACATGATTACACTAGCATTCATTTGATTAATAAGCAAAAGTCATACTACACATTACTGCTGTAATTCAATTCAACTTTGAAAAGTAACACATAGATAACATCTCTTAAAATGTGTATACGTTTTTTTGGCACCCCCACTGTGAGTCTGTGTGTGCCTCAACAACACACCAACAACAAAAACCTACTTTCTAATTGTATTGAATCATGGTAGATATTCTGAGGCTACAGTTTTTTGCTTCTGCTGATGCTTTTTTTTGTAAATTAGCATTATCTCTATATTAACGTAACCAAAAAATACCACCTACTATAAGTTGAGCGTCCCTAGTCCAAACATCCAAAATGCTCTGTTGAGTATTTTCTGTGAACATGACCTTTCAGCATCATTTTGGTGCTCAAAACGGTTTAGATACTGGAATATTTCTGATTTCAGATTTTTGGATTAGGGATGGTCAACCTGTATTACTAAATTTAGATTTGCCTCTTATTAACTATATGCTCAATTGTATAATAGGAACCAAAAGCCCTGGCTTTTTAATTATTTTGCTTATTTATTTCAAAATCCACATCTCAAATTTGGATTTTAAATTTCAGATCTAAAAGTCTTTAAAAATATACTATATAATATATATTTATGCTATATTCCCACAGCAAGCCTGCTTTTCAAGCAAGGGAACAGGAAATAATGGAAATAAAAATGATCCTTTCTCCTGAGAGCCATTTTACTATTGTACAGAAATAGGCCATTTGCAAGCTCCACCAGAAGTTTAAATATTCTGAAAATGAACTCATCACCATGTATATTGTGACAGGCAGAAAATACTTGTGTGTGGGAAAAAACAATTTGTCTTAAAGTATTTAAATTTATAGTTCTGTGTTCAGGATCATTCCCAAATGGGTCTCTGTTTTGTTTAAGAATGATCATTGAAATTTTAACAAATGGAAAGGTTAATCTTTTAGTCAGTAGATTACAGTTTTGTTTTGTTTAGGCTTAGATTTTTATTACATAGGAAGAGTGCTAGAAATGATTAGGATCAGGTCCTTTGAGAACTGGTGCTGCATGTACATCAATGTTCTGAGTATTCATGTGTAGAGCCTGTGCTGAGTTCTGAAATCTTTTGTCATGAAGTGGATGACCCTTTCACATCCACAGGGATCTTGTAGTCTAATAGAAGAGTTGGGTAATAGACCAACTAATTGAGAGAAGTAGAGGTATAGGTAATCTAAAAAAAATCTGGTTATATAATTTTCTTGAAGTGACAACAGGTTTTATTAAGTTTTTATTATATCATGTTCAGGGAATTATTTAATTTACAGTTGGAATCAGAAGGCCATATAGAATGATGAAATCATAGAATTTAGAACTAGTCAGACTTTATAGGTCTCCTTCCACCATTTCCTTTTAAGATGAAAGTCTTTAATAGCATGATACTTAGAAGAAAGGTTTTTTGGTTGTTGTTTGTTTTGGTCAATGAAGAAAAGTTATCATTAGTGAATACATATATATAAATAATCAATATTTAAAGATAGATGGGAAAATATAAAATTGTTAGCTGGTGGCAACTCCTCAGATAATAACTTTGAAGTGTGGGTTGATGTGATTCCAATTATGTATATCATGTCTTTCTGAAAGCTCATGTAGACAGCAGAGGTTTGCTGTTGTTCAACAGTGAAAATGAGAGCTGAATGTACTTATGTTTGGAATTAGAGACAAAAATAGTAGATTGTCTGAAATAGAGAATATTTGGAAAAAGAAAAAGGTAATGGAGTCAGAAGAAATTTTTTTTTTTTTTTTAATAAATCGGAGTCTCACTTTGTGCCCAGGCTGGAATACAGTGGCATGCTCCTGGCCACTGCAGCCTTGTCCTGCTGAGCTCAGTCGATCCTTCTGCCTTAACCTTCCATGTGGCTGCGACTACAGGCATGTTCCACCTGGCTAACTTTTTTTTTTTTTTTTTTTAATAGACATGGGGTCTTACCATGTTTTCCAGGCTGGTCTTGGAACTCCTAGGCTCAAACAATACTTGCCTTAGCCTCCCAAAATGCTGGGATTACAGACATGAGCCACTGTGCCTGGCCTGAAATTTCTGATTTTCAGTATGAGAAGGGAATTACAAAGAAAAACAGTCATGTTTTGGGTTGAAAGGTCATGAGGAGCATTAAAGCTTTAGAAGAAAAAAGGCCATGTTGTAAAGAATGCTTATGATACAGGATTCTTGCCACTGATCTAGGACTGCTTGAAAGTGAGGAAGATTCTGTTATTAGGAAATAGAATTCTGATGCCTTGTAAATAAAAACCTAGGAAATCAGATTTTAAGCCAATTTGAAAGCATATTTCTGACTTAATCAGCCTGAGAGCTTAAATGACTTTAAATGTTTATTTGGTTCTAGTGTAGTATATTCTGAAGAGCATCTTTCTGGTCACTTTAGAATTTACTTTTCAATGTTTTTTCTCTTTTTATAGTCTTATGATGCTACCCTCCTTGTGAAGTCCTATCCAGATTCTCAGCTGGACATACTAATTGATCAAGGGAAAGATGACCAGTTTCTTTCAGATGGACAGTTACTCCCTGATAACTTCATAGCTGCCTGTACAGAAAAGAAAATCCCCGTTGTTTTCAGATTACAAGAGGCAAGTATAGGAAACCTTAGCTTGATCTAAATAATGTAACTATAAAAAAGCAAGATTTCTTAATAGTTTCTTAACTTTATTTTAGCATATAAAATACTACCTCTAGTAAGGTAGTTTTTAATTATATTAAGGCACTAGAAGTGAAAGCCTTCCTATTAAATTAATTATATCAATTTGATAGAAATAGGAAAACTTTTGGTAGTGAAAAATATTTATAGTGTTCTCCCACCATCAAACTAGTAAATAATAGTAAATAGCATTAGCAGATATATCTTTCTTTACACATGCACCTTCGCTGCAGTAGAATAAAAAGGACAAATTTCTACCTCAGTTACTCTTTATTTTATATGTACATCTTAGCCTCAGAAAGTAAGTATTATCTGTTACACATGTGCTTTTTATTGTTTGATTTACATGCTAATCTGTTCATTGTGCTACTTGATTTTCTAGTTGTTTAAGAATGACTGAATTTCAATTGGCTTGCATATTTTTCTTAACTAAAATACTTCTGATACTCCACTACTCGCCTAATTATTTCTGTTACTACAGTTGTAATTAAAGAAATTCTACTTTTAAAAAAGTAATTAAGCTTTAAAACATAAGTAGAATCGTTATCTTAGTATGAAAAATGTACAGTGAAAATTTTACATGATCATGATTTTTAAATACATTTTTATTCATGTTTAAAGATAATGTGTCAGGCACTTTGATCTAAAATGTAATTATGATAATAAATGGTCACATAAATCTAGATCAATGTGTAAGGCAGTCTATTACAGTCAAAAATGTTTTTACATTAATTTTAATCCTTGTATCACCAAATGAGAGCACATTCCTTTCCTGGCCATCTGTTTTATAAATGGGGAGACGGGCCCAGTGAAGTAGCTTACTTATCTAAGTTCTGATACATTTACACAGCTAGTAAATGGTAGAACCCAGACTGGAAACAAGGTCATTTGACTGCAAATACTGTTCTCCTGTCATCTGTCTAGCCATTCCCAGGCAGCACAACATGCTCCTGGGGAGTAAAGGGATGAAATTAGAGCTAGCACAGGAGAAATTGTGCATAGTCTGCTACCTGTCTAACTTATGTAGCAGATCTTAGCATCTTGTTTACAGGAATATTGTGAACATGTGAATTTTCACACAGGAAAATAGGTCAAAACCCAACATATTACATAGACCTTGTTGTCTTTTAGTATCCATCCTTAAGTAATAGACTTCTTAAAGATGTATTTTATTTTAGCATTACTGTCACAACTATGTTTTAGATCAACAACCAGCCTTAAGAACTCCCAATTCCATTTTGATTATATAGTAATGCACTTAATTGCATTAACTATAGCTATACAGTAGTGCATCTGACTACATTAACCATAACTGTAAGTGACATACCAAACCATACTTGTGTTCAGATGCCTCAGCTGCTTCTCCTAAGGCTGTGCCAAGAAATTCTAATCATTTTTCAACGTTTATGCTTGCTAACAAAATCTGAAAGTCTCTTTAATTTTTTTTAAAAACTGCATAGAGTTAGAACATGGATGACATTCTTGGAGGGGAAAAATGAATCAACTTATTTATTTCTAAAACGCCTGTAGTCCAAGGAATTTAAAAAACATAGTTGGCTGAACTAAATGAGGATTCAAGACAAAACATCAATTCTTCTTTAAAAAGTAAGAAAATATATTCAGATTACTAGAGGCACAATTTCCATCATTTACTTTACTTCCAGCAAAGTTGGGTTAAGAGAGAGCTACACAATCTGAAGCAGACTGCGTTAGATATGTTGCAGTTGAACAAGAATGAATGCACATGCCTCAATCATGGCTTCAGAGAGGCTACTTTCAGATTTTCTAGCCAACTTCCATTGATCAGATTACCTCAAGTCTGAGAGTTTTATCAACCTGCTTTTTGTTCAACTATAAGTACAGTATAACTATTTCTTTGTGGAACAGGAGCTGTGAAAAATAAAATAAGATGAAAATTAAAGAGAATATATAAATAAGTGATCTAAAAAAGAGAAAAGAAAATGATTACAATCATGTGCATGGTTTACCCACCTTTATTCCTTTACCTCTTTTTAATAGTGTTAAATGTTCACAACTTATATTTAAGCTCTGTCAATTGTCAAAAAAACTTTTTGCAAGGGAGAGAATAGTGCATGGGGAGATACTTATTTGGTTCTTATTTTATATAATTTTTCTTTTTCTATTTTGACTTCAGGGAATCCAAATGGCAAAAAAAACTCTAGGTAGCAGAATTCTGATGACTGGTAGACTGAAAAGAAAGGGCCCAAACATCCTTATCTTTAGTTATTGAAGCTACATAGAAAAAAATGTAATGACCTGATACCAAGGAAGCCTCAAGAAATGGTACTCCCCTTCTTGGAGGCTAGAAGGAGAGGCTCTAACTCCTTACGCCTCAGGAGCTTTTTGACAATTCACAGGCTGTTTTGGCCTCTGTATCTGCCTACTAGAGAAGAGTGAGAACGTGGCTGAGAATTCCAGAAATGTGGGGATCTCTCACTCATCTCTGTATCCCCATGCTTAGCACAAGTATCTAGCACAAAGAATCAATGTCTGTTAAATAAATAAATGAATACTGTTCAATGACAGTCTTAATAACCTGGGGATTTCTATCCGAGCTTTTCTAATTGCGTCTGGAAAATATGTTGGAAAGCACTGCCTATTAGAATGAACGTCACAGCTGCTGGAGCACTGCTTCCTTTTTGAGAGTTGAGTGAAGAGTTAAATAATGTGTTCATTTATTTTTATATTCCGAGAGTCAGAGTTTTGCTACCAAGAATTTTCCATTTAAAGTGTGAGGCAGAGGAGGAAGATAAGGCCCCTTCAAGTGTCACTAAATATAGACAGTTGCGCAAACTGTTTAACATACCAAAGCCAACTAATTTGTCAGAGAATTTTAATTGTTACTTCTTTACCATGGAACTTCTATGATGATGATGATGATGATGATGATGATGGTGATGGTAATAGTAGTAGTATTAGTATTTACAACAACAATGGCTATCCATTATGTGCCTGAAGGCACTTAACACACATGAAACTAAGGATATAAATATGGCATACTCAGTCACAGTAGGGCTTTTCTCGTAGTCTTTTGAGGTGTCTGTTCTCTACATCTGTGTCTATTTTCTTTTGGAGCCATCTTCTGATCTGTGAAAAGTGGCAGATACTACTTGGTACATTTTGAAAGTTTTGTTGCCTGAAACTCATGGGCCTATTTAACTTCTTAACAATTCAACAATTACATGGGTGGAAATGCTTTTCTTTACATTTCTTTCATTATGTAAGAAACTGTCCTTTAGCTCTAAATTTAACTAACCATCTGGGACTAGTCAAATCATTGAGAGATGTGAAACCAAGTAATTCTAGCCTTAATCTTGACAGCATTCCTGTCACATTCACTTCCATTATACAAGCTTTAGAAGAAGACGTAAATTACTTTGATGACTTTAAATAGAACTTTTTATTAACTGCTGTTACCTAGTGATGTTTTTATTGGATCTGTTTTGTTTCTTACGTACTTAAAAAAATTCCCATCTTCCCCCATCAGAGACCATTCACTAGTTGAAAACTTAAAAAGAAAATCTTTCTTAGACTTTAATTTCTTTTTTTTTTTTTTTTGAGTTGGAGTCTCACTCTGTCACCCAGACTGGAGTGCAGTGGCCGCTTCCGGCCACCGCAACCTCGACCTGCTGGGCTACAGCGATCCTTCCAACTCAGCCTTCCGAGTAGCCGGAATTACAGGCATGTGCTACCACGCCCAGCTAATTTTTTGATTTATTGTAGAGATGAGGTCTCGCCAAGTTGCCCAGGCGGGTCTGGAACCCATGGGCTCAAGCAATCCACTCACCTCAGCCTCCCAAAGCGCGGAATTACAGGCTGAGCCACCGAGCCCAGCTAGACTTTAATTTCTTTCCATTTACTTCACTTTGTATTTAATTGAATAGATAGATTGAGATCTTTTCAGCTAACTGTATGGCATGTTATGTTTTCTCTGTTTCACGGCAGTTTTCCGAAGGTTTACTGACTTTTTACCCAATTTGATGTATTACTAAGGGATGTCATGGTTGAGTAAATTACTCCTTTTTCCTCAAATGAAGATGCGATGTGCTTTTGCTGTGTAGGAAGAATCCTAACATGCCCTATGATGGCTGTGTTTGACTTCCCAAACAGTGAAAGTGCTTTTGGGCATTTTTGTATTCTTTTTCTGTATTGTTGGTGTGCTGCTTTTGTATTTTAACCGTCACTGTCTTATGGATATGAGTGTGCTTCTTTGAAATGATGCAGTTTTTCTCGTGTTTCTAAGCTTTCTAAATCTTCATTCTTTTAAGCCTTGCTGATATGACCACATGTCTACTTTGCACATTTAATGTGTTACTTCCTCTCTTGGCATATTAATGGCAGCATTTAGAAACTAGGGTATGCAGATTGTTTAATTTTCCTTTGTATTTTTGCTGCTGTTTTAATGTACCCTGAAAATGTTGACTTTGATTTTTATTATAAACCTTCCTCAGATTATAATATTTTGACTACTTACAAGTAAATTAAGTGGCCTCAGAGATTTGTTTAATATCCCTAATGTTAAGTGTTTCTGAATGGTCAATAAGTGTCTTCTTTATTTTGTTTTCTAGGGTTATGATCATAGCTACTACTTCATTGCAACCTTTATTATTGATCACATCAGACACCATGCAAAATACCTGAATGCATGAAAAACTTCAGATAAGAGAATCTCTTCAGGATTGTAAAAGTCATAAAAACAGAATTGCCAAGCAAAAAAAGATTTTAAAATGTTGGATTTTATAATGATATAATGGGCCTTATTCTATAGTTAAATCACCTCTGAATAAAGATATAAAGCCTACTTCTGATTTTAAAAGTTATTTTACTAGTGTTCACATAGGTAATCGTTTTTAGTGTAATACTTTACAGCTTTTTCAGTGTCATTTGGAAGTCTTTGTATTAGTTCCAGGTCACAGATTATAAATGTAATCCTATTTAAATCCTAGTACCCAGGTGTAGTGACTCATACCTGTAATCCCAGCACTTTGGGAGGCCAAGGTGGGAGGATTGCCTGATTTCAGGAGCTTAAAACCAGCCTAGGCAACATCTCAGGAATTTAAAACCAGCAAGACCTTGTCTCTAAAAAAAAAAATTTTTTTTAATTAGCTGGGTGTGGTGGTGCCCACCTGTAGTCCCAGCTACTCAGAAGGCTGAGGCCAGGAGGTTGAGGCTGCAGTGAGTCATGATTGTGTCACTGCACTCCAGCGTGGGCAACGGAGTAAGACCCTGACTCAAAAACCAAAGAAAACAACAGTAACAAAAAAAAACAAGTAAAAGGGCAAGCCACAAAGAGGGTGGAGATGCTTGCAATACATATATTTAACAAATAACTTGTATTAAGAATAAATAAAGAATCCCTACAACTTAAAAAACAAAAACATACAAACCAACAAAAAATTTGACAAACTCCAATAGGTGCTTCACAAATAGGACAAATAAGACTAATAAACACATGAAAATGTGTTTAACTTCATAAGACTGGGAATTGCAAATAAAAACTATGATGAAATGAAGCTACACACCCACCTAAATGGCTGAGGTTAAAACTGCAAAACATCCTGTGTGTTGGCAAGGATGTATGGCAACCTGAATTATACTGCTAATGGGCATTTGGACTGGTGGGGTCTGCTTAAGTTGGACATGTTCCCACCTAACAATTACACTCCAAGGTCTACCCAAAAGAAACATATATTCAAAGGCTATATGAAAATGTTTACAGCAGTACGATTTATACTAGCCAAAATTCAGAAATAACCTGGAAGTCCATAGAATTGCTAAAATTGGAGTATGTTCATGCAATGGAATTTCCACATGAATGACAATAAACACACTCCAACTAAATACAACATGGTGGAGGTTTCTCAATCATAGTCTGAGATGAGAGAAGTCAGACACAAAATTATATATATATAAATCACATGATACCCTGTCATATAAGGTTCCATACCAAGGGGAGATCATCCATTGTATTAGTAAGATGGTGGTACTTACAACAAGGGGCCGGGGGGCAGAGTCTGAGGGAGAAATGATTGAAAGCTGGCACAAGTGGGCCTCTGGGGATACTGATGATGCTCTCTTTTCTTCGTGTGGGTGCTTGGCACATGAATAATTTGAAAATTCATCAGACCATTCACTTAAGATTTATACACTTTATTTCATATGTGTTATACTTCAATAAAGTTTCCATTAAACACATATTAAGTAGTTATGCTGGGGGGATAATAAACTACTACATGAAGAAAAAAAAATCCCTGTGTTACTACAAAGGGTACTTAGGGGATAAGACTTCCAGTAAACTGCACCATTCACAGACTCTTGCATCCCAAACCACTTAGAAATGAAAGTGATGATGTATGATGCAAAAAGTGATGTCACTGATTTCGGAGGTGTAAGTGAAAAGTTTACACAAATATTTTGATCTATGGAATATTTAACATTGCTAAGCTGACATATCTTAACATTGTAAAATATATATGTAATAAACTGACAAGGAGGCATGAATTTTATATTTAAGAATTTATAAGCCGGGCTAGATGGCTCAGCCTGTAATCCCATGCTTTGGGAGGCTGAGGTGAGTGGATTGCCTGAGCCCATGGGTTTGAGACCCGCCTGGGCAACTTGGCAAGACCTCATCTCTACAATAAATCAAAAATTAGCCGGGTGTGGTAGCGCGCACCTATAGTTCCAGCTACTTAGAAGCCTGAGGTGGAAGGATCGCCGGAGCCCAGCAAGTCGAGCCTGCAGTGGCCGGGAGCGGCCACTGCACTCCAGTCTGGGCGACAGAGTGAGACTCCAACTCAAAAAAAAAAAAAAAAAAAAAGAATTTATGAACCTATTTAAATTAGCCAAACTGTTTTGGATATTACCATTAGAAAAATGCAAATCCCCTCACATTCAAGTACATTGGGTATCTATAATATATAACAAGGTACGTTGCTTTATGGCACTTCTGAAACCAAAACTACCTTATTAAAATTAAAACTCAAGATTTTTGTTTGTAAGCTTTCTTTTTGAAGTCTAGCCTCCAAGTAATCTATAGAATCAGGAATTTGGGTGAAGAAAGGAAATGCTAGTAGTAGTGCTCCAGTGGTGGGGATGGTAACAGAAAAGGCTAAGAAGGAATTTGCAGAGATGATAGGGTAAATAATGCTGCAGTGGCCACAGCAACCAAGGTAAAAGAAGCAGCCACTATGGTCAAGATGGAGGACAAAGTATTAGAACCAATAAGAGCTTAGTAAGGTGGCTAGACACAAGATCAATATCTCAAAATTGGCAATTTTCCTATAAGTCTATGTCCAACAAAGAAGTATAAAAATGATCCCATTCACAGTAGCAACAAAAAACAGAAGTACCTAGGGATAACCTAAACAAGAATTGCATAAGCCCTTGACCAACGTAAGTCTTAAGCAAATGGAAAGCAATATCATTTTCGTGGAATAAAAGGTTCAATATAGTAAAGCTAGTAATAATATCCCAGGTTAATCTGTAAATGCTATGTAATCTTAATCAAAGGTTCAGTATTGTTAATAGAACATGCTAATTATAAAACTTATATGGAAGATTATGCCAAGAGAGAAAAAAATTCCACCAGCTGACAAGACAGATTATAAAGCTATGATCATTAAAATGGGTTTGGGTTGGATGTGATGGCTCACATCTATAATTCCAGTATTTGGGCGGGTGAGGCAGAACGGTCACTTGAGGCAAGGAGTTCAAGACCAGTCTGGGCAACATAGTGAGATACTGTCTTTATTTAAAAATAAAAAATAAAATGGGTTTGGACTCAGAAGAGTCATTTCATCAAAAAAGTCCTGACACAGACCCATATGGGAATTTAGTGTATGACAATTGTCACGTCTCAAATCAGCACGGAAAACATGGACATTCCTGTACATGGTCCTGCAAAATGAGTTTTCATCACCTTCATGGAGGAAGATACATACAAAAGAAGACTGTGCAAGTGCATGCATTGCTGTGTGCGTGTAATAGGGCAAATATAAAAACAACCCAAAATATTTATGGATAAAAATAAATAGCTTAACAATGCATATAATTTGATACTGATTATATTTTTAAGCCATCAAAACAGTATGTTCACTTACTATAGACACAAATATATTTTATAAAAAAAGGTCTGAGTGGAAATAATGACAGTTGCTTCTGGGAAAGAGAGAAACATCAGAATTAGGGATGATATACTCAAAGAGGCTTTATCATGAATGATGGCGTTTTTCGTGTATATTTTAGCTGTAAATTATTAAATATAAACATTATGCTTAACAAATTTGAAAACTAAAGGGAAAAAAAAAACAGTGCATACACCTATCTGTACCAAGACCCAGAAACACATCTTCGTACTTCTTCCTTTGTTTATACACCTGAAAATTTAAGTTCTGATTCAAAAACATTTTTTTGATAGAATTATCATAACTTACTGTGTGAAAATGTGAGAATTTTTTGAAGAAGAAAACCTGGCATGGGCCCTGCTTTCTAAACATATTTCAGGCCGGTCATTGCATCATTCAAAGGGTCACCTAAAAATGGAGTAAAAAAGAGTCCCTCACTGTCTAATTCACAGGACTAGGAAACTCAGCAAGACAAGATGCCCACATGAAGTCAGATGTTAGTGACTGGGTACCTCAGTGCCACTGAACTCCAGAGTGAGGTGTGCCTTCCTTCAAGGGGACACAAAACCATCTAAGGGACTATATTAGAGATTCTGCCTAAATTTATTTTTATTTCATCCTCTCCTGTTAAAATTTTTGGGGTTTTGTTGTGCATGCCTTATAATATAAATGACATATTGTTATGCTAATATATATAATTATAAATAAAAATGCATATCATATTGTGGGCACATATGGCAAATGGGCTTCCCAAATTTCTCCAGCACATTTTTATTTTTTAAACACAACTTTTTGAGTAAGAGGAAAAAACATTGTGAGGACCAACACACTGAATAAACTGGGCTGTTAATTTGTCTTCTGCCTGTCTGGAGGCTGGTCAACTATAGAAATAAAACATAGTCTGTAAACTTCTCATCCTTTCATAGCCCTGTCCAGCCCAATACAAAAATGTCCTTTTGGTCTTCAGAGACTAAATCAAAGAAATCTAATACCCATTTTGTATTTGGCCCAAGTTTGGGACTCCAACCCAAAATCTGTGAATTGGAAATTCACAGACACTAGTAAGTGTCTCTTTGCCACCAGGTGTCAGTCACCCTGTCTCTAGTGACACTTATTAATCTGCCTTCTGGTGATAGTATGTAAAGAACAGAATGCTAGTACTTTCTTTTTTGAGGCGATAATTGTATGTATACTCAATCAAATAGGTTAACATTTTTGTTTTGTTGGGATTTTTTAATAAATTCAAACACCACTAAAAATGAAGCACGAGTTGAGAACAGGGTGAAACAAGGGACTTTTATTTTTCTTCAATTTATCCAAGATATAATTTCAGACTTTCTGTTTTTGGTGTGTGTGTGTGTGTGTGTGTGTGTGTGTGTGTGTGTGTGTGTACGCTTGCTTATGGTTAAACCCTGCATTTAGAGCTGCAGTACTGAACAGCACAGGCTGTCGGGTGGTAGATTGAAGGCAGGTGACCTTATTGGTCACTGCTTGTTCAAGAGGATTATTCTTTGAAGAATAAAGCCTGTTCTTTGTCTCTTCTGAAACCATTTCGGTAAAAACACTGCCACCCAGTGTTTCGATTAAGAGAAGCACAATAGACCATGCACTCTTGAAAATCAAATTTTCCACAATAGCAAATAGCTTTTCTTAGTTATAGTCAAATAAGGCCTGA